TTCTCAAATAAAGATTTGGCACCATAAGATACAAAAGTGGAGGAAAAAATGAGTTTAAAAACGAGGAAGGAATATTGTATATTGATCTAACTGGACGAATCCTGTTCCTTCGTCGTTCCATAGCCTTCTTCCACTATGCGAAACTTTTCCATTAGCACATCGTGCGTTTCTCGAAAATTTACAGTGCCCAACTTGCGTGAGCGCAATGTTAATTTAATTGCCCATGCGTAACAATGTCTCGCTCTAATATTTTCCAACAATCTTAAATAATGATCACCTTTTTCCTGCAAATAATTGACAATATCTTTTGTTAATCGCAGGAGTAAATCATCTTGATGATCCAACATCGCAGTAATATGCTCGCAGTATTCCATCGCCCATTCTTTTGCATGGAGCGAAATATTACCGCAAAATATGTAAATGCTGTGTATTTGTGGCCATCCAACAATTTGTGGCACGATCTTCTCGCCCATTGTGCCTGATGATATGAAAAATATCTTCTTGTCGACATTATTACGGATAAATTCAAGACAGGCATCGATTTCAAAAAATGGTTTTAAACAATAAACAGTATCTTTCAGCTTTAATAATATTTCAGGGTCTTCTAGTTGGTAGCAGGGTTCGTCAAATTCTAATTCTTCAAGGCTTATCGTATTCAATGGATGAATAAATGTTTGAAACCTTTCTTTCAGCTTGACACTTTCTTCAGGACGACCAATGTATTTATCTAACCAGACAGTCAAATGATCAGAATATCTGCCAATGTCTCGATGGTTGTCCCAATAGGGGATTACATTTGAGTAGCACTCTACATCAATGTCCATCGATGCGTATCCAGACATTGTGTAACTCTATATCTAGAACAGGAAAAACCACTATTTTTAATAGAATTAATCCATATCGCATGTGCACAGCACGGACGAACAGAGATTTCGAATTTAAATACATTCAAAAGATGAACTTCGATGTTCTTGAACAGAAAAAACACTTCTGCTTGCAAGTGTAAGAATGATTTGGAGGCGTTATTTAGAATATCCTTTAAAATCAGGCTGAGAAAATCAAAAACAAAAAGGTTTAAACTTTGCCCCAACTTTATCGTAAAATATTATATAAGAATCGTATAATCTGATCGAAATCTATTATCATCGGTAAACGCATGGACGCAATATTAGCCCACCCTAGAATGTATAACTTTCGAGACAAAATAAAAGCCCATACCAGCCATATGCTCTCACATAGAAAAAGACAAGAGAAAAATGTTTTCGTAAGTGAATGAGGTCTTTTTCTGATATAATAGATGTTCATATGCACTCACACACATTTTTACTTTCTGCACGTGCCTAAAGTACACGAAATGGAGCATATTTGGGCATCCATGCTCAAATGTGCGCGTGTCTAATAGATGTTTTTCGCTGTCTGTTATATCGGCCCTCTCTATATGAAAACTGTTGATTTCTTGTGTTTTGCTAACTGGTGTATACTAATCTCTTTGCCAAAATAAAAATACTAACATGTACGCTAAAGGCATTGTTCACAGCATTGCTCATGTACATACCTGGGCAATATTATGTCGTTATATCGAGAAAAACATTTATCTGTATTTAGATGCATCTGGATATCTCCATAATTGTCTAGATACAACGTGTGGTGTCTCGATGGCTTTCTTTTGGCGCATTAGATACATCGACCAGTGAATTGACGAATCTACATACATCGGGCAATACTCCATGCTTTTTCTGTGCTTGGGTTTACAATACTCTCTTCTTTGGTATCATCGATAAACAAGACTATCACCTACTGTAGTAATTGTAGATAATCATAATTCGTTGACGGGTTAAATTAAATGAAGGTAAGCTTGACGTGAAAACTGTCTACCTCGATTAATATTTTTTTTGTTTTTCGCGTTCGTCACATGTGCTGCTGTGATGACGGGGAAGAAAATCCAAATAAAAACCGATACTCTATTCAGGTTAAGAATAATTTTATTCTTTTGTCACTATTACCACAGAAAAAAATGAGAATGGATAGGCATGATGGAAGAAACAAACGAAAAATCATTTTAAAGCTTTCTCTGTTCTCGTGAACACGTTTTTCATAATAACAAAGGTTGTGAGGTCAACTAAAAGTACCTGATACTTGACGTTTTCGAAAACAAACAGTTTACTTTGGTAGATATGTAAAAAATGTGTTTACTTTCAAAAAGTAAAGATACGCCTGGCCTTTTCTGTCTAGAATAGTCAAATTGTTTTCATGTTTTGTCCCTTTTCGCACTTATCGAAATTGTTAAAATGTCTGACGCAGATGCCTTGTCTCCTTCTGGAGACAATTTTTTTGATTATATGCGTGAAAAGACAAATGATATTTACTATAACATACATCGTGTTGTTGGGTTTGTTTCATGTTCAAGTATTAAGAGTTAATGCAACAACTTGGTTGTTGTTCGAGTTAGACGCTACTGAAGCCGCTACGAGCGCTTTCGACCTTGCTCAAGAGTCTCTTCAGATGACAAATATAGAAACAGAGTAGTGCCAAACGTTCGAAATAATAATTTTCAAAAGTGGAAAAAACGGCTTATATTTTAACAACGAGTGTACATTTCTAACACAACGTTTTTGGGCATTTTGCAAGTTTCTGTTCTTGTTCTATGTGAAAAACTGAATCTAAGAATGTCGTTTCGATGCTGTTCAAATATTATTTCGCCTAAAAAGTTTTGCTTTTTTACCAATAGCGAAAATCACGCTTCCGTATCTACCAAAAGCTTCAAATCTTTTTAGATATGAGATGAATTCAATATTTTTATATCACTCGTCTTATCAGCACTAATAAAAAGTACGTATCGGATTCGAATATTTTTCTTCGCACAATGGACACCGAGGCGGACATTTAGCGAAAGATGAAAAGTGCACTGTTTTAAATTTAAATACAGCCGGATATACTGTTTCACGTGCTCTATCCGATGGCATAAAATTTTTTGTTACAACTATCTTCATTCAACGAAAAATTCATGACCAACAGCTAGCAAAAAACATTAAGGGTTGGGAGAATGAACTTTTTCATTAAATGACAGGTGATAAATATAAAAACGATGCAGATTCTGAATCTAGACACGTCAGGTATTATGTACGCGAAAACCTTCTCTGCTTGGACTTACACTGTGTGAGTCCTATATCCGGCTACAGGGTCTCCAAGAAAATCTTAGATTTTCAGCTAAAATCCATTTTTCTTGGCTTAGGGACACTTTTATTAAAAACCAAAGTCAGATTCTGGATCAGTACGCACAACCACATCGAATGACGTATGGTACTATTATTTTCTAGCGGAAAAATTTTCCTCGCATTTTTCCTCGTGTTGCAAATTTGAATTACTGGCATCTTATACTACGCCAGATAATCACAGAGAGTGATTTAAGGAAGAATCTACGACTCTATAAATCCCTAGTTATCCAAAATTTGTCCTAAGAGTACAAAATCCCTCTTTAAACTTTTCATACATTTTAAACAAGTAAGTAGGGCGAAACGATTTTCGGCGTTCATACCTTCACTTTCTGTGCTTGTCTGGTGTAGTATAAGGTGCCAGTAATTCAAATTTGCAGCATGAGAAAAAATACGAGGAAAAATTTTCCCCTAGAAAATAATAGTACCATACGTCGTTCGATGTGGTTTTGCGTACTGATCGTCAAGGCGTGGCATCGAATTGCCTTAGAGTCACACGATCACTATTTCTTTACATGTGGTAATTCTGACAACGAATGCAAACATCGGTAATCGACCACGCTCAATCTCGTGGCAACACTTACTTTCAAAAAACTTTTTGTTATATTTGCTAAATGCAATATTGAAAATGTATGATTAAAATTAATCGTACAAGTGTTATGGCACATATTAAAGACGTGCCATAAGAGACAATTGTATAATAGTCATATATATATTCGTTCTCTATTCTTCTGCTATGGGTATTTTCTCTTCCTGTCATATATGTATTCTTTTAGCTCTGGGTTATAACCCACCGGTTCCGTTTAACCTCAGGTATAAATAGCTCCTAATTTTATGTAAAGACCATCTTGTTCAGTAATAAATTACTTATACACAACAACGTATACCGGACATAACAATTGGTGCACTAGCCGGCTTACTGTCAAGACAACATCACAGTAAGTACAAGAACCCGTTATATGGTACAAAGAACATCAGAAACCTAAGGTTAGACGAAGCTGAAGAACGAATTACATAAGAAAGTTAGTTACCATAGTGGCTTAATGGATCCAGATCTTTACTAGAATATATTAGTGTCGTTGACAAAAAGAAACTTGATGGAAACACCCAAATTTTCCGGTGTAAATGTCAAGGTGAAAAATTGGTTGAAAGATCTTACTAATAAATTTGACGTGTTATCAATGAGTGAAGATGAAAGATTGAGGATTATTCATACATTTTTATGTGACAAAGCAT